TTCCCAATAGAATCAACCCACACTTGCCTTTTTTGGCCGTGTGGTCACTGGATGTTCACCTTTATTCATCAACATCTAAATGTCTCTCAGGGAGACATTTTCTGGGTTGCAGTCTCACAGGACCTGATTGCAGGCTGCTCTCCATTCCTACAGACTCACCTTTGTGTTTGGTTGCTCATGAACACTTTGCTCACAGGGGTCCAGAGCACCATGAAAACCAGCCTGTCCTGCATGACTGCCCCGAACCAGGGCCTGACACTATCTTCCAGCTACATCTGCTGCAACTGCTCTTCTCCAGCTGAGACAGCCTTGGCCTTACCCTGCCAAGGCGAGGTTTTGGCAGTGCTCTCTCTCTCTCGGAAATGATTACTATTCTTTTTCAAGCCAGCGTCAGGGAACCAACCCAGCTGCTTTCCCAGCAGGTTTCTGGAGACAGGAAATAAGGTGCCCAAGCAGAGTGGCTGCAGCACAGCCTAGCGGGGCAACTCAACTCCTTGGACAGGAGGTGGATTTCAGAAAGCAGTCTTTCCAGGAGCACACAGAAGAAAAGGTTTGGCATTTACAGCCACTGACAGAGTAATTTTGTCAACTCAATAGTAAACTCTCTTCCTGCCAGCTTCTCCCAAGAAGAGAAGTGGTCAATGCCCAGTTGCTGGCTATTAACAGCTCTGCCAGGGCTGCAGAATGATCAGGACAAAGCCTTCGTGTTCCACAGAACCAAAAGCCCTGCCAGGACTGCAAGGCATTTCTTTCCCTTCAAATTGGCAGTGGAATTAAAACCTGTCTGAACATTACCCGGCAGATCCAGATCTGTGCTGTGACCCCCTCCCAGGACACACCAGCCACCTCTGCAGAAACCTGCCTGCAGGTTTTCTCCTGCTTCAGCTCAAACTTCCACACAACCCTTTATTTCCAGGTGTGTGTGCGCGCGCCCCACAGTTACCCCAATGAGCTCAGATTAACACAAAAAAAATCCCGCCCCAGGGCTGTCAACACCCCCAGACACACCACCTGCATCAGGGGCTGGCGCTGCAGAAGAGGACACCCATCATGAGATTTAACTCAATACAACACACATCAGCCCAGGATGTGGTAACTCCTCTGCAGGTCCTAGAGGCAAAGATATGCAGCAA